TTGGTCTAACTATTACCAGAGTTAGACAGTACCATGTTCTAGTCCCCAATATTTTGACATCTTAAGAAATTAAAGGTAAACCTTGGCTCAAGTAAGCCATACCACAAAGATTCCCTCTCCTTACCTTCCACAAACACCCTCCTACCTTACTACAATTTGTTCAGCTAAAATTAAATAACTCTGAGAACAATTAGGCCTACAGAAATAATCAAACTTTTTTTTTTTTGTTTGTTTTTAACATAGACAGGTTTAAGCTGGTAATACCCATGTCAAAGTTAGGAGGTATTACAATTCAGATCCAGAAGAGAACAACCTGATGAAGCTATAATTCTCTGTTAATTAATAATTCTCTCATCATTAATAAGTCTTGGCCATTTAATTAATAACCTTATGATTTGCAATAAAGCCAATATCGAAGATAACTTTAATCTTCCATTCACTTAGAAGAAAGCCCCTTCCACATCAGATGAAGATGACACAACCACATCCTTAGCTCTTAGCATTCCTAGGCTTTTCCCTAAACACTAACTACAGATACAAATAAAGGAAATTTCAAATGCATTCAGTGCAGCAAAAACCTCTGTTCCTATCACAGTCAATAGGAATTTTCCAACTGATTTCAAAGGAAGCAGACTGAAGCAAAATTTATGTACTTTATAAAGTTCTGTATGCGTGGGGTTTTATTGGCTTGGGGTTATTTCTGTTTTGTGTTGTTTTTGTTTAAGTCCAAATAATAATTGGAGTTATAATGTATAACAAATTTTAAAAAAGAACATAATTTATGTCACAATTCATTAATATACTTCATAGGGATCTCAGAGGCTACAGCCTGCTGTTTTATGATCAGTATTCCTACCATGCTTATCAATTAAATACAATGATAAAGTTTGCAAGCCAGACAGTTTTTCATATTATGTCAGAACAGCTATTCCATTTTGTATGATAAAAGTATCATTATTAATCATGTTTATTGAACCACTTTCTCCAACCAGCTATCACACACGCTAGTTCCTCTACGTGCACTGGACTAAAGCCATCCCTCCCTTGTACAAGACAGTCCCCATCTCCACATTACTTTCGCTAAAAACTGTCTAGATCCCAGCATGGCACGGCAATCTGAGTTGAGTCAATTGCTCTTTTCATACTAGCAGAGATCTGAAGTGTGTCTAGCGTTAAGTAAGCCATGGAGCCGACAGCCCACTGACTCAAAGAAAGATAAGACCATGCAAAATCTTTAGTAGTCAGAGAAAACCCAGCAGAGAAAACTAGTGACCTGCCGAGGCATCCTTCTCTTACAGATGCAACATCACAAGGTAGTGAAGGATTTGTTGGAGAAATAATTGAGACATCCAGAAGTACCTGGTCAGGACAAGGAGAGGAACCAGAGGACCAAAATCTTTTAGGAAGGAAATGGAACTGAAGAACAAGAAGATTTACAGTTGGCAAGGAAGTGAACCAAGGACCAAGGCACCTTAAGAGACTGAGAATGGGATTGAAATAAATCAGGATAAGTAGGAGAAAGACACAGATTTGGGCAGACTGTGAACATTTAAGGAAAAGCTGGTAATTAGATCAAGGAGAATTTTCTGAGTAGTGTGCAGAGAATCTAAAAGAAAATGAAAATTCAAACAGCAAAATCACCTGTGCCTTTTCAAAATGTCACTATTTAATTCTAGAAGAGTTATTTTGACCCAAAGGCTTTTTAAGCTTTTCAGTCATTAGTAAGGTCAGACAAAGTTTTGGAAATTCAGGGTATATGATTATATCTATAGATTGCCCTAGAAAGGGCACTACAAAGAATCTGTGGAATAAAAATTTTGCATGAAAACTATGCATCTTGTTTCCTTTATATCTCCCTTCTGCAAGGAGGACATAGTTATTTACATCTTTTGGGTCCAGTCCAAAGCAGACTGAATGCCTCCAGGAATATCCTTGTATACAGCACCAGGAGAAAACTGAGTTCAGTTCCAACATCTTTAGAAAGAGACAGAACGTGCATAAACTGTGGTCATCAACAAGCAGGTAAGTAAAGAAAAGAAACGGTATAGTTGAAGACTGAAACAGTTTGCAGACAGGCCCCAGTCACTTAAAGCCTTTTAGTCTTACTCTCCTGACACATACTGTGTTAGTTAAAAGCAGACACTTCTAAGCATTGCTCAGAAAGATTAGCTTCGTTTGTAGCATGAGACAGAGGGGAAAAGTTTGCATAGGAGTGAAGCTTTGTCGACTAAAAACAGTATTCAAAAGACGGAACTGGGTGGCTTTCATGTGAATTAAGCAGAAAAACTTTAAGAGGAACTTTGGAAAGAAAGGCTCATGATGTGAAAGCAAACCACACACAACAGATATGAATGTAACCAAGCAAGTTATTTGACAGTTGACCCTCCTTTTTGTATACAAAGTTTTGTGTATTTTTATATATAGTTATATACATGTATATGTGTGTGTGTGTGAGTGTGTGTATTTATATATAAACACAAATGTGTGTATGAAATCCATGCTACTGCCTCAAAAGCTAACATATAAAAGCAAGAGAGACTGTAGGCAGAAAAATCACAAGAGCACCCTCTCCACTACTTACAATTATCACACTGGAGAGATCCTTTCTTGTTGCTGTTTAGCAAGGACATTCAATTCATACATTTTCCATCTTAATTGGTCAGCAGTAAAAAGCAAATGGCTCTACTATACTTTACTACTAGCTCTCTAGTGTCATGAAGTCTCTTAAGTGAGCCTAAATATATTTCTCTCTCACAAACCATATTCTCTCTCACAAACCTGTTCTTCCCACGTAAGATAGGTGGGTGGCAATCACGTCTCTTCCGAGGAAGAATATTCTATGTTATTAACTGCTTTTCCATTAGAGGAAGGCATGTCAAAGTCATGCACTCTCTTTCTAAACCAATAGTGTGTATGTGCAAAGTACACATCTCTTATACTGTCCATTAGCTTAGAGTATTTCACTTACAGTTATAATAGTCTATTTTTCCTTCTTCCATGGGTAATGGTGCATGGAATGAATGTCTGAATCTTGAAATGGCACTGTAGACTACTAATCTTTAAAAAAGTTTCCAGCAGCAAGAGAGGCACGGGAGAGCAATTGTTTGCAAGTGTCTTCCTGATGGGGGAGAAGCCATCAGCTCAGTTTCACTGTAAGTCAAAAGACTTCGGTTACAGCTTTAAAGGGAAAAGAAAGGAGAGGAGGAAAAAAAAAAAAAAAAAAAAAAAAAAAAACAGAAACCAGACTTCAAGGCAAAATGTGAAGCACACTTATCAGAGAAACCCTTCTAGAAACATATGATTTTGCTTACTATACAGCTGCCTAAGATTCCTGGTACAGGACTTAGTGTCCTAGATAGTCCATTACAGTCCTACACTTACACTTGCCCTGTGTTCAATCTACTACTGAACTGTTCTCCCAGCCTCTCAGTTTTGCTGAAGCTGTTTCTGTAAAGTAGCAAAGACTTCAAATGATTACTGGGAGCTGCCTTTCAGCTTCAGCATGCTCTGTTATAAACTGGATAAAGTACTAGACAAAGCCTGTGAATTAGCTACCCGCCCTGCATGTATCACTGGCTTACAGCATCCTGCCATTGTTTGACTTTTACCTTGATAGTACCTGAGATGTATTGCACTTAAATTATTTCTAGACACCTTTTTAGATTAATCTTGGACTCCTTGATGCAATATGAAAGTCCTGAATGACCTCCTGTCAAAGTGACATGCCTCATACTGAAAAGAAGTGTTGCAAATGAAGATATTTACAATTCAAGACTACTGTCAAAAGCATGAATGCTGGGCAACAAGAACAGAATGCTAAAAAAGCAAATTGAGATGCAAGTAGTTCTTTAAAACATTTTTTTATGTTCTTATTACTGAATAGAATTTTAGGAAAATATTAACAGCACCTGAAAAGCAAAGCTTTATTTCCACAGAGCATACATATCAACACACAGAAGTAATGCTTCACCTCTGACTGTTTTTCCAGGAGACTTCAGTCCTGAATACCTAGAATTGGGACAGCAATACAAATTCATGCCCATTCAGCCCATTGGCAGTGCCCCCCCACTGGGTAATACTCTTTCGACCCTAACAGTAGCAGCTATTGCCTGTAGTCCAGGCACTTATCTGCTCAGAAATAAGCTGTAAAGCTGGTGCCCATGAAAGCCTCTAAGGAGCATTTCTTTAGCAACTCCTCCTCCCAACTAGCTCCCTAGAATTAAAAAATATGGACAGTTGACCATTAAGTGACCAGGATGCAAAGAAGGAAACAAATTGAAGCAGGGACCAGCAACACCATGAGCAAGTTCTCCCAAGATTGCAGAAGTGTCCAGTGATCACCACCCCTCTCCTGAAGACTTTGCTCATACAAACACAGCCTCATGCCCAGCAGCAGGCAGCTGCAAACGTGGTCCCAAGCCTGTTGAGCACAGGGTCCTTAGCACACCGCTTCCTGCCACAACCCAGATAGCCCACATTTAGGAGACATTTCTTCTCAGAAAGAGCAGTCAGGTACTGGGACGAGTTGCCCAGGGAGGTGGTGGCATCACCATCCCTGTGGGTGTTCAAGGAAAGGTTGGACCTGGCGCTTAGGGACATGGTTTAGTGGGTGATATTGGTGGTAGAGTGATGGTTGGACCAGATGAACCTAAAGGTCTCTTCCAATCTTTATTGATTCTCTGATTCACTGTGCTGGTGGAGCACAGAACTGGCTGGTTCTGGCAGCCACAACACAAGGTGAGGAGCAGTGTTTGGAAAGCACACTTGACAGATAGAGCAAATACCCCCACATGTGATACTATTGATTTAATGCACCATTGTTCTTTCAGCTAGAGTCAGGGCTCCATGCAATTAGTTAAATGAACAACATGCAGTACTGAAACCACTGGGACCAGACAGCACAATTACTAAATTGTTTGCAATAGCAGGACAATTGTAGAGATGGAAACAGAAGACAGACCAGTAAACTCAAGCAGTTGGTAACCGTCATACAGTATTTGTACAGGACAGGACAAGAAAAGAGCATTTAATGTTTTGTTGACATACAATGTCCTAAAGGACAACTTTACAAAATGGATTTTGTGCACACAGGTGATAATCAAGTGTGATAACACATAGCCATGGTACAAGTGAAGATCAGTTAATTCCACCTACTTGTTAGGTTTACAGTATGAAATACAATGTTGTGTCAAGAAAAATACAGGCAATACCTCAATTCCCCCTGGCAGATGCTCTAATACACAAGCTGCTGCCCTGAGAAATGCCGTGATAAAAGGCTGCGCCCTTTTGAAAATAAAATTGTCACACGCACACCTAAAGGCATTTTGTCAGAAATAACGTGAAAGAAGAGAATGATATACTGTCCGTTACACCACTGGTGATAATTATTCTGCAAACTTGCCCCCATAGCTGTCAGTAAAGGGCATCTGGAGCCCTCCATCCTTGAAAGAGGGGCCATAACATAATAACCAGGCAGCCAAGGAATGGGTGAGCTCCACACAGCCCAAATCCCCACCTAACCCAAGGCACAGCTCCCAGCACGCAGTTACCTGTGACTGCTCACCTGAGGGTAACAAGCCTGTCCAACATCAGCCCGATTTCAACCACTGCAAATAACAAATGGCTCTGTGAAATATGACCTGCTGCTGGATAACTCAGGAACAGGAAAACAAGACATTATGAAACTTCTGATTGGGTCGTAATTTTTTCCTCCTCTTTGACATGTCTACAGCAGGCAGGGCATGTTAAAAACTATGAAGATGCAAGAAGGAGCGATACAAAGCAAATCACTTCCTAAGGTTTTTCTAGTAAGGCGATTTGAGCAAATCTCGATGGTAAGGTTCTTCCTCAGAAAGCTACAAAGTCCCGCTTTCTGTAGGAAACTGCCCTTTTAGGGAAGGTGTGGCAAAACCATCTGCAGCTTTATTGCAAGGGTTTTTAGTGTGGCAGAGCAGGGAAGCAGCGCTGATCCCAGAAACAGGCTGTTCAGCCAGAAAGTGGCATGTGCCAGATTCCACAGAATCTTAGCCCACGTGCATTGAAATCACAGGCGCCACTTGCAATTTTATGGGTGAGTATTCTTCCTATTTATTGGGCTGGACCAAGTTCAGCTCCTACAGGAGGAATGTGACAGATTTCATCTGTCTGACAGCCAAGCCTAATTGTATTTTCTGTAGGAAATGACCAAAGACAAAAGTGCACATGTCTAGGTACTTCGGTGATGTGCCATATGGAGGTTTAGATAAAGGTTTTGTCAGTTGTTAGAGCTCCCCACAATAACTGGACATGGCCTGCATCCCAAGCAACCAGAGCAGTGAGGGCAGATCTGAAGGCTCTTCTGGAATAGAGAATTAAGGTATCACCGTGTTTTTGCATGAAAATGTGAGATCTTAGGCGTTTCACTTTTCAGTAGAATGCACATTTATCCTTGTTTCTTACCAGAAGCCTACGCGTGCATCTACATCTGAAACTGCATGCAGGATTTGATTTAAAATATGTAAACATCAGGGTAATAAATTCCTACACGCAAAAACAGCCTTCTCATCACTTGGACCACCAAGTACAGTGGAAAGAGAAGTTAAAATTGATCAGACCTCAGCACTGCTGGTAGACATCAGTCACCAAACAGTAAATATTTAACTGGTGAATTTCAGCCAAAATAAACATAATTCCATCCGGTTCAACTAGATGGAAAGCAGCAACCAAGTCAGCACAATGCAAAAACAAAAAAATTTAAATACCTTTTCTTGCATGAGATGTGCTGTTTCACATAAGAAAAAAGCAAAGGGGAATATGCCCAAAAAGATAATCTCTGAACACTAGCAGATCATACCTTTAGCAACTATAACCTTTTCAGTCCTCACTCCCCACACCACCCTAGTATTCTTCTTTGTTCCTTAGCTGTTCTCACTTTGTATCCTGATTTTCTTCCCTTTTCTCTTGGCCCCTTCCTGAAAAGACATCATCATCAATTTAACCTCTTCAGATTAGAATAATTAAGCTTGCTTTCCTCAAAACTTCATCCTTCCCTCCAAAAAGCCTGCTTAGAAAAGTAATTTTTATACCCATCATAATCTGGAAGTGCCACATTACTGAACTCATGTTATGTTGCAAGTAGCCCTCCTGTGGCCAGCTGCATAGCATCTGTAAAACTCCTACTAACGCGTCATTTCTAATTAGCACAGCGCAATTAAAGAAGTCTTTGGGCCTCAAATGTAAGTTCTGTTTAGGAGAAGAGCTATTAAGAGGAGGACATAAACTTTCAATATTGATGCTGTTAGAAGAACAAACTAAGGCTTTCAGTACATCATCCCCATTACAGTCATTGTTAAAAGAATGGTCTAATTTGTATAATATAATATTAGCCATGGAGCCCTTGTAATGAAAACAAGTAACCAATTTTATAGCCCAATATATTTTGTGAATAGTTACGTGTTCTAATGCAATGGCCTCTTTAATTTTCTCTGTGTTTGTTGATCCCTTTCATTGCAATGGTGAAGCTGCAAATAGATGTCGAGAGAGGCAGCAATGAAAGATTCCTGAAGAGTCGAGAAGCAAAGGCCGTAATTCAAAGAAAGCACGGAGCCTTAAAGCACTCCAGCCCAGTTAGCGGGACCAGATCATAATGGCAACAGAAAACGACACTGCTGCAGCCTGTCATTATAAACTTGCCAGCAACGCCCTATTCCAGCATTTATTACTGATGCTATAGAAGGTATATTAGCATTAGAAGTGCCTCCATTCACATTAAATTCACATCCCTCCAGTCAGCCTCCCCCAGCCTGTCCCAATAAGGCTTAAAAATGTTCTTACATTTGTGAAAATGAAGAGCCAAGATCCAAGGGGTATTTACCTGGTGAGGCAGGAAGTATTGCTCAATACAAAATGATTGCTCCTGGAGTCCACACAATCAGATTTCTACTAACATTCAAGACATTACTGTGATGTGCTTTTTAGATACTTTGATTACTTTGACCTTCTTGCTGAAACAGAAGCAAAAAAAAAAAAAAAAATGTAACTGGCATAAGTATCTGAAAGCTTCTCTGATTTTTCCAGCTAATAAAAAACCAAATCTCTTTCTACAAGCCTTTCTTCACTTCAGACAATCGCAGCTGCAAGAGCACTGTGTGTACTTGATTATAAAAGGCATTACATAGACTTAGAAGGCATCCAGTAGTAATTCATTGACCTTATAATTACAATATCGAGGAATACCAAGTGTGGCTTTGGTTACAGTATAACTGAAGACATGGATTCAGCCCTACCTGATATGCCTATACACACACACAAAAATACTTAAATAAAAACAATACATACATACTGGACTCTGTACTTCTAAGTGCAGGTAACTGCCAGGCAAGCTCTAGGACAACCTGACATTGCTAATTGTTACTTACAAATTACTGAGCACACCAACAAATGACCATTCTCTGATGTAACCTGCAAACAGCAGTGATTGTTCTGGAAGAGCTCACTGGCCACAATTTGTTTATTTTTTCCTTCAGTTGTTGCATTTTGTAAAATCTCCTGCAAAAAGTTCCCACTCTGATTCTCAAAAATAAATTTCAGAAGCCCCTAAGGACATCATTGGCAAACACTGATGAGGAAGGAAGACAGGGAAAAGGGAAGCACAATACTGATATGGAAGGAGGAAGAGCAATAGCAGAGCAAGTGATTCCAATAAATCTCATTCAACCTCTTCCAAGTTGTCAGAGGGAAGTGAAATCTCCCCCCGCTGCCTTCCAAAAGGTCACCGAGATTAGAACTGCAGCAAGACTCCCAAAAGCAGCCACACAGGGCCCAGGGATGCAAGGGGAGAGGGCTGCTGCACTGGATATGCAGTTCTAAATGAAGATAAAGTCTATGTTTTCAGAAGCTAATAACTTGTTTCAAACACAACAGTCTTCTGTGCAGTGAAGGAACTGAGTTTCTGCTTAAGTATTCACAATTAAGTAATTCCAAAAGTATATAATAGCAGCACTTGTTTTTTAATCATGAGCCCAGATGCTCTGTCCCAGTGAAATCAGACTCATTATTTATTACTCAGCAGAGACAGTCCGTGAACCCTCCATCATTTCAGCGGCCAAAGTAATGACCAGCTCTGTCAAGTCAAAGGCATGTTAAAAAGGAGGCACCTCAGGCCCATTGTTTAGGCAGGAATCTACTCACCACGTGGGCATCCAGGGATTGACGCACCCTGCCTGAAGCTGACCCCAAAATACCCTGCCAGTGACAGGTTCTACTTCTTATCTTTGCTTCTCAGCAGCAGACCAAGTTCTTCTGCATTTTTACAAATATCCATAAATTTTTCAGTTCACGAACAAAAGCACTCTGCTTCCATTTGGTTTCCATTCCTCTTTGTTTGGCATTTGGATGGCAGAAAAAGGAGACATATCTCTATCAGCAGCATACACTGTGTTTTCCAGAAACTGTGCACAAATCCTGAGGGACAGCAATAAAAACGGTCTGTAAGCACCTTGGATGAGTTTTCAAAGTAAATGCGGGATTTTTAGCCACACGATTCCCATCTATCTTAACTGCTTCATTGCTGCTTCACAGAACAGGCACACCATGACAAATACATCCTCAGAGCTGGCCAACATACACATCGCCACATGCCATCAATTTTTCAATCACTGATGCTCCAGTGCCCTGCCACAGCACAGACACCAGTGTGGAGAACAAACAGTGTGGTTATTATAAGCACTACCTAAAGCTCTGTGCTGCACATCGCCTCCCCCTACCAGCCTTCCTCATGCTGAGTGGTATTTTGCCTCAATAATAGTCCAGCTGATTTCTGCAAAACTATTACTCCACATGAGTGAGAACAGCAGCTTCGTAACTTTTCACAAACACCATCAGGCTGGAAATAGCTGAAAAGCACTCCGGCACACTTGAGCAATGAAAATACACCTCTTCTTCCTGAAAGTTTTGTTAAAGTTCTTATTGAACAGGAACTAGGGGAAAAAATCAATTCACTTCTAAGATATGAGATACTGATGTATCTCATCTCAAAGAAATGGCCAAATTCAGCAATGAAAAGGCACAACATGGCAAGGAAATGTGCAGGAAAGTATCTGCTCACATAAGGTACCAATCCCACCTTGACAGAACAGTTTTACAGCACCGCTTGAAGCAAGACCTACACTGTGATCACCTGAAGTGCAGGTGATGAAGAGTTGTCCTTCTGGAGCACAGTCAGTCACCTCTCCTCCCAGAGTCAGCAGGAAGGTGCAAACACACTGCTGTGTGCACAGGACACTTTGTCAGTGACCAGAGACCGCACGGAGCTCTCCTTGGTGGCTCTGCAATGCCCCAGCAGCCCGCTGGAAAGCAGACAGGACATGGGAAATGTGGAGTCTGCTGGATGCTAGCACACCTGGCTTGCAAATGGATGCAACAGGAAGGGATCTCAAATGCCAGGAAAGGACTTCCTTAAAGGTTTAGCACATCTCTGGTGGCTAAAACAAACTCCCTGCACCATTAACAGGAAACGGGTTAAAACATATGCTGATTTTCCTCAGCATCTCTCTCTCAGTTTCCAAAACTACAATTCCAAATCAATACCACCACAAAAATTATATTTAACATCCATAACACCCTGACACGGCTGTGCTCAACAGAGGCTTTCTTTTTTTTTTTTTTCCCCCAACCAACCTCACCAAGGAATTAGCTGTTCATTTTTCCCCCCGCAGCAGCCTTTAACTTGAGCGCTCACATCAAAGCTTTCACCTTTGCAGTGAAAGATGTGGGGATTCTCCTCAGAGCTCTTTCACAACAGACTTTAAATCAGACAGAAAGGTCAGCGCAGACCAACGCAAAGCTTTACCATTCGCAAGTCTATGCACACTAAATTATTAGCTATTTTCTGGCAAGTGGATGTTGTGCTTTTGGGAAGGATAATAAACCAGGTTAACTGCATGGCAACTTTTAAGGATCTAATTTATTTTCAATTAGCAAGGATTTTAAAATCATGGCCTTCTTAAAAACTACCAGAAATTGGTTTGGTCTGAACCTGCTTTAATACTTCATCCAGCAACCAAAAATTAATCTGATCTCATCTGTCAGAAATAACAACCTCAGACTAGTCTCTAGGGGACAACACCCCTAGATGAAACCTAGATGAAACAGTCCAAGCACTTTCCAACAGCCTTCTTGGTTGTCTCAGCAAAGGTCATAAGATGTAAAGAGATCAAATTAGCTTGTCCTCCAGATTAGACGTATAAATACACTCGGGTTGCAAATGATTAAGTCAAGGTGTGTCTAAGTACCTCAATTAGAGTCAGTTTAGGACTTTTCTTTCATAGTACATTTCATTTAAACAATTCCAACAGGTTCTGGAAGTGAGTTTCACTTATGAATACAGTGATGATTTCTTTAATGGAGGAAAAAATCCTATGTGACCTTTGAAAACATAAATGAATTGGGAATATACACATTCTGGTTAATTAAAAATATTCTTCACCTTATGCTTGCGATGTTTCCTGTTCACTCCTTCGAGCACTGAAGGACAAGAAGGACAAAAAAGCCTCTCAGCAGAAGTGCTAACAGCAGCATCCCTTCCCCAATCTGTTCTCCTCCAGTTTCCCAGTCTGCTGGCTGACACAGTGCATTAAGCCCTTGCACACCAGACAGAACCTAGACACCCTTCTTACTGGGGCCAACGCACTCTCAAGATCAGCCCACAAAACTATCTTCACTGCCTCCAGTCAAAATTGTATTTGCCTTCTTCAAAGTAAGCCAACATTTATTCTTTCCATTCAGTCCAGCATGGATAATTCCCTCCAGCAAAGGAAAATTGCTTTCATCACCGCTGGCCAGTCCTGCTACAAGAATGCAGTATTTTTAAAGGGCTTGTTCTCAGGAGAAAACGCCATAAGCTATATTTATCTCTAACTAATCCATTTCTAGCTCTTACTCTAAGATTAAGGAATTAGAGACTGCTACAGCTGCTGTCCTTATCACATTAATTACTGTAAATTGGCTGTCATTTCAAAAAAGAAAATCCACTTCCAGGGAGTGCCTAGTTCCATGCTTCAAATACCAGGCAAAGAGCGGATTGAATATATCGCTAATGCAACGCTCAACAAATAAAGCACACAAAGGCGACTGGGCTCAGCACCGCTATTCTTAGGCCATACGCTGGGTGCAGACCTGTAGATCTAACCATGACAGAGACTGTTTAGGCTTGGTTTCTGTCTGGCACAAACTACTTCCAGCAGTTGAAAAATAGGCACACTTCTTTAAGATATGTATAAAGAGCCCCAACGTGCCAAAACTTAACCAAAACTGCAAGACCTTACTATAGAATTTAGGCGTGGAATTATGCCTTAAGCAGTGCCTTGGTAACCCCCCTTTTAAGTATGATTGCTCTTCAGAAATGGAGCAAAATTAAAATGCATAAGCAGTGCTACCAGTTATCATAACGTTGTGATAGCAATTCTATAACTCAGGGTGCTGCACTTTTGCCCTAGTAACATCACCACCAGTCGTGGTCATCTTAGAATCCTACTGAGGAAGCACTTCAACATGAAGAGTTCAATATATATAAAATTACTATGAAATATGATTTCACTTAATTCAAAAATGATTTGGGGCTACTTTAAGCTATTAAGTCCTCTCCGTAACAAGCTGCTATAAAGCTGGCCACCTCCTCTGATGACAACACACACAGCACGGTGCCACAAGAGGTTGGTTTAACAGCATTAGGAGTGCTAGAGAACCCACAAACCCTTTCTTCCTAGTCGCATGGGATGCATACGTGTATGTTCCTCTCTGATGCACAAACAGTACAATAGTTTCTCAGCATGATCAGAAATACAGGCATAAAAGAGAATCTATGTATTTTGATACTTACATGTTGCCAGCAAAGCAGCAAACACCATTAATATTAAAGGAATGCTTTAATTCCTACTTTCATATATGTTAAAATAAGCATGAAAAATCTTGGTTTTGCTTTTTCATTCACTCATCTGCAGACAATTCTGAAAATAAATTCTTAAACGCTGATGTAGAAACCAAATTATTATAGCGACAGAATACGGTGTTTTGTAAGCAATGTACTTTGTAGAGCTTGACATTAAAACCTTCCAAGACCTCTTTATGAGAGGTGATAGGGGGTTTTTTTTGGAGCTACTATCAGAGAACTTGAGAAACAAGCAGATTCGAGTTTTAACTTTTATTTATTTTTAAATCAAACCAGATGCTGCTTCAGAGTTTCAAGCCTTTGAGATTCAAGTTAAAGTAATAACAGTGGAAAACTTAGGCTTCAGGAGCTGATTTTTTCAAAAATCACTTTAGCACAACAGCTAAAATGAGTCTCTTATGTGATCATTAATATCTGTCAATACGACTATTTCCAATTAAAGAAAAAAAAAAAAAGTAGACATTCTTCTTAGAAGAAACATAATGAAAAAGTAGTACGTATTCATCAAAGAGATTCAAGTTAGCCAAACAAAGCTAGATAGCAGCCCTGATTTGTGTTTGATGCCTGCCTAGCAGCTTGGTGCCTTGCTGGCCATACAGCTGACACCCAAAATACCATTCCACTATGGAATTACCAAATAAAGACATTTCATTCAGACAGATACCACTCATGCACTGGGTGACTCTTCAGGGCTTTGACACTATTATCTTTCAGTTCTCCTCCATGCTACTCCCCCTCCCAGTAGCCCCGATACATATTAATTACACAGCAGGCCACTGGCATTGCCAAAGCCAAGATAGGAAATTCTCTTTGTAATCACAGTGAGAACTAGTGCCAGCTCTGATGCTGGAAAGAAACAGTCCTCCTCCCTGTGACCTTCTACCTTACGTAGCCTAGAAAGGAAAAGTCACATGGTGACTGTCCTCACACTAAACCAAAGACACTTTGGCTGTTGAAGCAATTGTCAGCTCTTGTTTCAAAACTAAATTTCAAGACGGATGGATTCAGCTCTCAAGGGAGTCATTGTTCTATTGAAACTGTATTTATTTTTGGAGACGCCATAAATTGGCTGAGCAAAACCTTAACTGCATTAAGTTTTTAAGACTCTTTCAAGAAACTGTTTCATGGAATAGCTACAAAACCCAGAGTTAGGCCTACATATCACCTCCTGAACAGAAATCTACTCTGACATGTTTTATTGAACATAACCCAATAATAAATCCAGACTCCCCAAACCATACCCTGGCTGCCTGGCTATATCAGTGCAGGATTCCCACTGCACTATCAGATTAGGATCTGGAATGACAGGTTCAATTGCCTAAATTATGTGGTGACTGCTTGTGGAGACTAGGATATTGCTGGTGGTTGTTTTGTTTTGTTTTGCTTTGTTTGTTTTTTAAACTATTATTTAACCTACACTTTCCAGCAAATTTCATGGAAGATCCTACACAGCTGCTAGCTAAAAGGAAGACACTGTTGTATAAACCTGTTCATGGCTTAAACAGTTTAAATATAG